GTTGAATTATCTAAATTGCAATCGCACCATATTAGTCATTTTACTGTCTAAAACTAATAAATGTAATAACTAGAATAATAAATTAAATTATTTTAACTGTTAATATTAAATTTACTAAACCAAAGTTATAATAATGCTAAAAAAAAGCCCAAAGTTCCGAAAGTTATATATATATATATATATATTTTTTTTTATAAAATCTGGTTTAACTAAACTTTTTAAGAAATAATTAAGACATTGATAATAATATTTAATCTAATCTATCTTCAGTTATGGATATTGATCCATCCGTCTTTTTTCGTACCTATAGGAAAATTTGTTGAGACCATTTTAATAAATTTATTTCAAATGAATAAGAAAAATTTACTTTAATCAATCACTCGATTACTGTATCCCACAAAACTCCTTATCTTATCCTTTTTTTGATTTTATTACATGTTATATATGTATATATGTATTTTATTGCACTCAATTAACTAATAACCGAGAGTAATGTTTATCAATGACAGCCTGTGATAGGTTTGCGACAAGAGTGCCCTGGCTTCAACTTCGAAGAACAAATATAATTTGTAAAAAGTGAAACATATAGAATATAGCACATTTTGTTTATTTAGTACGATTTAACATTTATGTTTAGTAACCAATGAATATTAGTACTCATATTGGTCGTTACACTCACCGTAATCATTAATAGTTATAATGACAAGCACGTTGTCTGTTTCTGGGGCGCAGTTAGAAATATGCGATAAAAATCTAAGCACATAGTCCGTCGGTGATTAAGTATTTTCATATATATCAACGAAATCGTTATTTTGTCACTGAGCCACTTTTTGTATCCAATTTAGTACATAAGATTAGGCATAAAATTATATAATGTATTAATATTCAGTATATTATTGTAAATTACTACGTTTGCAGTGATTATTTGAAAAATTCAATTTTTTTTTTCATCGCGACTCCGTGTCAAAGCCTCGACATTTATTCGATTTAGATTAATTACGTAAAATAGTATCGTTTTCTTTTTAATTTTTACTGTTTTATACTACAGAGCGAGCGTTCGCACTTTGTCGGATTGTATTCGATAAAAATGATATTGAAATAGTATAGCCGATATAGGATTTATGTTTTATTCTTAATAATGAAGATTAAGTTCATAGCACAATTAAATATATCGTTTACGAAATTAGAGATAAAATAAATTAAATCGATATATGAGTTGTAGCAGATCTGGTCGTTAATATGGTATGCACTCCGACGTTACCGAGTGACTATCTAGTAATATTGTTTTGTCTGGCAAACATATGAACGTAGTTGAATTTATTAATTTATGTATTTGAAATATTCCGTTTTTGTATTATACGTGAAGACTGTAAGCTAGAAGAATAATATACCAGTATTTCATAATCCAGACAATGCTGTAGCAGAATTATGTGATGTGCGTTCATCTTGAAATAAACGTTAGTGGTTGTATTGTTTTTCTTACAATCGCGGTACACGTACAGCTGCGTATTATGATCATTGTCCACCGCTATCGTCAAACATGTACATGCGTATTGCACCTAAACGCCTCTTCTTTCCTCCGGCCTTGAAATCGCGTACATTTGTCCGTGGAACCGTGTTCTGCCCACACAAATCGCACATAATATACCCACAAAGTCTGCCTTGCTATACGGGTACTTGTCTATGTATGTTGTGTAACTGCAGTATGTAAATACTCTAGACGTTTATCATTTCCCGATAAAAATCGGAAGGAAACGAAAAAAGAAACGTGTTAATATACTACGCCTATATAATACGCCTTTAAGTGAGTGTAAATTTATTCGAAGCACAAATTTATCGTAGTGCAGATGAATCATGCGAAGGATGTGGAAGTGCAACTTTATATATTGGTTTGAAAAAAATTAAATACTCTATGTTACGTTTTTAAAGGATCTAATAATATATTTCTGTTAATTATGATAAATATGTTATGGATGTATATAATATAGTTGATGCATTGAATAATTGTTTTGGATTATTTGTGAACAAGTTATTTTATGATTTTGTTTATAAGTAACAAAAAAGTTAACCCATACGCTGGTCATTGAAAATCTAACCTAAACTCACTAGTAAAAACAAAATGTAATGTGATTAACATGTTTTAATTCATAAAGCAACGTCATTGCTGGATTTAGCGTTGCTGCAGGAGATGCAATGCTACGAGGCTTTAAGCTCTAAGAGGCCTCTAAAACCAATATATATTATTGAAAATTGTCTGTTTCGTTATTTTTATTAAATTTCATTTAAATTTATCTAGTAATAAGGTATTTAAATTTAATTTTTTTTTTCTTAATTAATATATGTAGTAAAAACTTATACTCGTAGTTAACATATAACAAATATAATTGTTATATAATTGTTATTATTAACAAATAAGTATTATGTTGAGAAAATTTTTGGGGATTTTTCATTGGTATTTGCCACCAGGTCTCCTGAGATTTAGATCCGGCACTGGTAAACATACTAATGATTTATAATAATAGTGAATACATAGGATATCGGGAAAACTACATTCGACTATTTGTTTAGGTACAATTTGTTCAATGGGTACATTATTCATATAGTTGACATATATATACTTGTTATAGTTATTATTTTTTAGCATTACATTTACTGCACTTAATTACGTATATCGGTTTGCGTATCGGTAAATGTCCGCCGTGACGTACTCATTATTACACAGAGTGGTGTTGAAATTGTACAGTAGGTATTATATTATTATTATTATTATGCCAGTGCTTTGGACTCCGAGTGGAAAACCAACGAAGTTTCAAAAACAATACTGATCTAAAAGATTATTATTATTTATATATACTGTGTATTATTGTTATTATTATACAACCTACGATTTTATTTCGACGACCGCCGTTACGTCACGTTATACCCCAGAAGATTGGCGTAGTTTTTACTTCATTTCTTCAGCTTTTGTTCCGAAACCGTTCGCGCACAATGGAACGCGCGAGCGCGTGCCACACAAAAATGTACGCATAATAATATAATGGTAGTAATAATATAAGCACGACGAGACGGCAAAGACTTAGACGCACGTGTTTAGTGGGCGACGGAAATAAAAGGTCAGTAGGTCTTGTACGTCGGTGTGCGTGTAAAATGACACTCGTCTAATCATTATACTACAACAACTCGTTCATAATAAAATGCAACGATATTATTATAATCGTTATTTGTATTATTCGTATTCTGGACCGACGGGCCCGCGACGACCTATAAATTGCAAACATTTCACGGAACGTCGACGACGTGCGGAGAACGCACATATACGAGGTGTCGCGAATGTTAATACAATTGTACATGTTTAGCTTTTCTTTATTTTCGCCCTGACCGTACTACGCGACCGTGGTCTAGAATTTTGACCGAATCTAGTAGATTGTATATTATAATAGGTACACAGTTAGCATGCGCGTACCGTGGACTAATTCGTACCTTATTTTTATCTAGCTTTCAAATTTGTAATTTTTCATTCGGAGCATGTCGCAAACATATTTTATCAACGATTTTAATATCTTAGCCTAAATAACAATGTACCTATGCGTATGTATATATATATATTAATGTGGGTACTCCGTAATATATTATGGTATACCTACCAAATTTCCGACGGCAGTCAGACGGTCGTAAATATCTCGGAAAGAAAGCTTATGGGTTAGGTTTGAAAATGTTTTCTAAGATATTTTCTTAACCATATATGCATATTTATTAAATCGAATAATAAAATAGACACGTGTACTGATTGTGAATGTGTTATTATTGTTATTTATTATCCATACATAAATCAATCGGTGAAAATCTGGTGTTCCAGGGAATAATTGTATATTTTAATTTTACAACCTATTAGTTACAATATATACCATTGTTCTCCGTCGTGGCTTACATAATTTGTATTGTTAATAACGTTTATCGTGACTGTATAATAGTATTAAATTGATGATCGAAATGTGACAGTACTAAAAACATAAGTTTGACGAAGACAATGCAAATATTATAAGTGATAATTCTGATTATCTTTGGTGTTGCGGTTTCTATTGAATTTATCTTAAGAGTAAAATTTAAGCACGTCCCTTTGGTAATAATATTAATTTAGACATAAATTTGTTGTTCGAATTTTTTTCGTATATCTAATTGTACATTTAACATTTTTGTTAATTAACAATAGTTACATTGGTTCGTGGTAAACATAACTACCGCAAATTCACTCACAGATCTGCTTTTGGTGTACGCTCACATATGATAATAAACAGAAATTGTATTTTATTTATATTTAAAAAATACTAATTGTGACTAAATTTAAAAATTTAGTTATCGAATATAATAGTGGGTAAGTAGCGACAGTAAATTTTTAATAATTGACATCAGATTGCAATGTATGGTTTTACTAGATAATATTTGTATGTATTACATAGTGTGAGACCGGCGCTCTAAGAGCTCGAATTGACTGAAACTTCAGTCGGGATTTTATATATTTCTAATTAGCTATACTCAGTGTATAAACTGAATTATCTATAATGTTATTCTAAATTATGTCTAACGGCCAATTATGTTATAATAGCAATATTATCAACAATATACGATCTTAGTAAGATGACGAAATCGTATATCCATGGAATTAATTTTAACGGTGAAGGTTTGAAATGAACTTAAAGAAAAACCACGCACCGTAGTATAAATTCTAAACTAAATAAATATTGGCTGCTATAGAGCAGCACACCTTTACGATGATCAACTCGATTATGTTTTATTCGCTGTGGTAGTGCAACATACTTTATACATACGATTCGACCGAACGTTTAAGTTTGAAAAGTTGTCGAATACGTTTTGTATGTACAGCGACAGAGTTGTGTAACAATTGAATTTCAATTGTTCGCTTAGTCACCACGCTCGTCTCGTCACGAACCACACAATAATAAACTATTTTCATTTTTTTTTTTTTTTTTTTCTGTTCGCAGGCTCAGTCAAAACTTCTTTGATGTCCGGGTCGTCGTTCAACATCACGTGGCACCTAGCGTATCCCCATTCGGTAAGTACTCGTCGCACTCTATCGCTATATAGCCATATACCCGTATGTGTTGTTATTATTATTATTATGCACTACTGCTGTATTATACATAGAGAGCACGACCTTATACCTAATAGTAATAATAATAAAATGCGTCTGCTATCGGCGGCGGCGGAGCGTGTGAGCGAAAACTCCACCGCGTTAGTTACACAACCGCCTGCGCAGGATTCCCAAACGACAATTTTATTAATTACCGTGATGAATTAAATTATTATTGTTATTATTGTTGTTACTTTAATGTATTGTTTGCAACTCGCACGACTCGCGGTGTATTTTCTATGTACGAGAGCGCGTTAACTGCAGCACCGGTACCACGATGTACCGTATACATGGGCATCGCCACAGTCAGGAATCGTTCGTGCGACAGTATAAATTGATTGCGATAGTTACGCAGTTGATTCATACTTAACATAATTAACTTAACATAATAAAATTTATTTCTTCAAGATTTTACAGGTATCCAGCATTTATGCGTTCTTTACGTGTCGTGTACTGCAAGTACAGTTATCCGTAATGCTAGCAATAATTTTAATTTTTCAACTTCAAAATAACATGTCCTCACTTATATAATAACTAATCTAAGTATATAATTAAAAAATTCACAAATTTTTATAGAGGAGGATCTTGGAAGGTAAAATTATGACTATTCTCCGGATAGCATTGAATTTTAACCGGTAGTTAACCCACAGATCACTGTTATATACACAATTTTCAAATGTTGCCTGTAAATTGTGAAAATCAACAAGACTGTGTTGGTTAATACAATTAAGAAGTTAAAGCAATCTTTTTAAAAAATTTTAAATAATTTCGATTTTCTCGAAAATTTCCATTCTAAATTAAAATGGGTTTTCGTATAAGATAATAATAGTTGCATTCGAATTTAAAACAGTAATACAACACAACACAACGAATATAATACGACTGTGAGTGATTACATAGGAAACACGTGTGTATAACTTATAGAAAGCGCTATGCGTGGTCTTTCTAAATTAATTTCTAACTAGGATTTTATATTTTAAAAATTATTGGGTACTTTAGAGTTATTTCCTCGTTTGAATCATTAGTTTTTTCTGCTTAATCAGCAGGACGAATACCATATGAATTGATATTTATTCCTCAAGCATTTATAATGCACAGTATCACCATCGTCTTACATACAATTAAGTATAGTTTATGTTCAAAAAATTGGCGTGAAAATAATAAAAAATTATTTTTTTATCGGTTTAATTTCTATTCGTCAACTTTAATGTTAACTTTCGCCAACAAAAAATATCACTCCACTTGTATTGAGCCAAAAATATTGACCGACTTATTTATCGATGAAATGTATTACATGCGTGATCTTTAAACGGTATACGGTGGGAACAAACGTGTTTTATTGCTGTATTAATAAAACAATTAACTGGTTTGTCGCATTTTTTGTGTCTGGATCGCCCATATTATCACAATGACAAATGTATGATGTTTCGACTACAATTTAGGGACGAATTGTCAAAAAAAAACCCATTAAAATTTTAACAGTTCGATTCTACACATGACAAATGCAATTTATGCTCAGACTGAATCAAGTTAACTTCGAGTAAAAACGTAATAATCCCGATATTGTATACTTCTGTGGTGTGCGTAACTTTTGCGTTTACCTACCTACTGGAGTTGATATTTCCTTATTGTATAATGTAATTGAATTTTAGTCGTTTTACGGCTTTTCAGATATAATATTCTTCATTTTTTTTTAATCTTAATTTCTTGTATTATACTATCTACATTTTTCATTACTTTCTCCGCGAATTCCTGCGACGTGGTATAATCTTCGGTAGAGTTTCGAGAGCACTCAGAATCACCAGAGTGTACAGGGTCACTGACTCGAATCACAAAGTGCCACATTTATACGAACATATGTGCAGGGCTTATATTATTATATACTTGTAAGGTCTGCAAGTGTATTCCACTTTTGCGTGAGGAATGTCCAATTATATTTTCTATAAATCGTGGATTTTCTCTTAATTATTGTAAAACTGCTACGCGACTTTTTATTTATTTTTAATTGGATTTCCAATAGTTAGGTTTTCATAATGCGCTGATATACATATAATTATTTATATAGATATACCATCAATGCATTATTTTTTAATCAATGTGTTTTTGTTTACCGTTCTTATAGGGAGGAATCAAGCTTCAAGTATTAGACAATTATCAAAGACCCGTATTAGATCTGACGCCTGTTACAAAAGATTCAGAATTTCTAAGGACCGACATAACGTGAGTAAAAATTATTATAATAATATATGAGCTATTTATTTTTTAAAAACAATTAAATAGTAGCGATAAAAATATAATATAATAACTATATAATATAATTATATAGTTTAGAAACTAAAAATTATTGATGAAATAGACGTTACATTTTACTAATAAATTGTAATGTAAATGAAAATGTATTAAATCAGATACTTTAAATGAGATTTCACGAGTTGTATACATACACAGCAATTTATATTAATATTACGCTTACAGAAATTGGTGTTGTTAAAAATGTATACCACACATAATAGTTCACACGCATGAGGTCCATATGTGGTTAAGACTTTTTTCATAGCCTAAAAACTCGATTTCATGGAATTTCCGTTTTTCGATTATATCATATAGTGAAAATACATTAAATAACGAAACAAAGTCAATAGATCAGCAAAATTATATATTTATAACAACTTGATTATTAAAATTTATATGTTTTCAAATATTTATAATCAGCAATAAGGGATTAATGATTATTAAAATTGATATGTTTCTAAACATTTATAATCGGTAATAAGGCATCAATTGATTTAAATTGCTGATTCGAAATTATCAACATACTTTATTTGACTACCGTTATTATACTCATACTACTCGTACATAAAAAGTGTTACTAAGATTAAAATTTATCATTTGAGCAAATTAATACTGAAATTGAAGTACAGCATATTGTTAGAAGACACAATGCGATCATATGTGATGTAACCTTCGCTAATATGGTGTTGTATTAAATATGCCTGAAAGAAAAAATATTAAATTGTAGTCAGAATCTGATTACCGCACAGTGATAGTTATAGATTTATAGGTTAATTTCAGTGGCACGACTGCAGGGAAGATGACCACATACATGAAATCATGGCGCCGTCGACTGGAACGAGGGAGTAGAGACGGGCAGTCGTGACCGAAAGACTCGTTGTGGAAATAAATAATATTTTTGATCCTTGACTGCATAATCTAATGAGTTGTGTAACCGTACAGTGTCTTAAAACTACCCTTATCGTAATTATTATAAATATTTATTTTTGTTTTTATTTCATTCATTCAAAAACTTTAAACGTATGAAGGAATTTAACATTATTTATAGTACATATCAACATAATACAGAAGTTTTCTTTCGAATACGTTTACACTAGTGAAATTGAATTTAAACTCTTAGCCATTTTTTATTATAATGCAACATATTATATTCTAAATAGTATTTAAAATATTCATAATTATACATGTGTAAAAGTAGTTGTTGTACAGCTTGTTTAGAAAGTAAACGTTTCACGCCAACGTCAATATCTTAAGGTTGGGCCTGATATTAGAACTTAACAATGATAATGCCAAAAAAAAAAAAAAAAAACTATTAGGTAGTGAGAATTCTTAGCCCGCGGCAACTTAACTTGTATATACATTCAACCGTTTAATTCCATATTATCTGTTTCGAACGCAGATTGTGTAAAATACACGCATAAATGTTATAAGAGTACATATAAAACTATAGTTTTCACAGCATTCGTTAGTTATAATTACTTATTATTAGCGATAATAAATGATAATGATGATGAAAAAATAATTGTTAAATCACAATTCGAGTTACGTGATTTCTCTACTGAGAAATACATTAATACAATATATGTATGAAAAATTAAAACAAAACTTGGATCGAATTTAATTATTATTAGGTACACTTAATATTCAACATATTTTTTATTTTTTTGAAGTACACGCCCGAGAGCAATCATGATTATTGCAGTACAGAATTATTAAATAATTATATTAGTTTGACAAAGAATATACATAATTTAAATGTCTCACATTAAATACAACAATATTAAGTATATATTTGCACTCTGGTTGAATTAGTTAGTATATAATATATTAAAATAGAAAATATGGTTATGTGTTTTTTTGCATATCAATTGCATATGAATCAATACAAACGATTATATGCAGTCGATAAAGCGGGAGCATCGTAGCTGCGCACGAATCGGCGCCATTTCATAAAATAGCACCAAAACTCTGCAACACACATTTCTTTTTAGAATCGCAACTCCGCAGAATCATTTTTTTTCGATATCGTAACTCTACAAAAGATATTTTTTTAATTATAATAATTAACTAGAAAACATTACATGTCATATAATTATATTAAATATAAACATTTTACATTCATACTCGTCTGTTTTATTTTCATTATATAATTTTATTATTTTATTGATAAATTCAAAATTATTTTACTGTTCACATTTAATTATCCTACATTAATTTTTATTAACAGTAAAAATATGTGATTTAATTGTGCAGTGAGGTTTTATGTTCACATATCCACCATCCGCAACAGTATCAAAGTTTGTACAAAAACTAGGTTATGCTTGGACTATAATTTCTTTTGGGGTGGAGCCCCATATCCACGAAAAGTGCCACGCAGTGGCACTCAAGTTTGTGAGTGAAGCCAGCAGGCGTATCAAGCGATAAGTCATAAAATTTTAAAAATTGAAGTTTCGTATACAGGTTTATTGATAAATGAAGAGTTCTAGTGTATCAAATATTTCAAACAATTTTATATCTGCGGACTTTTGACAGGCGGAATATCAGGAGTTTCCCAATGGGCCGCTTGTACTGATTGGGAAGTTTTTTTTTTTAGGTTTATCGGTTTAGGCTCATTGTATCGACTGACACAGACACATTTTCTTATACGATTGCATTAGAAATTGTCTAAAATTAAATTAATTGTCTTTTAATTTTTAATAATAATATTAAGTATTTAAATTCTCAAAATAATATACAATAATCTTATATGAAAATATACATTTTTTTTTTTACCTTTGGTATATCGAAGTGGGTTGTTTTTTCTTTATTTTCTGGTATAATTTTCTGACCCAGTCCGGCCCTAACTTAAAGTTTTCAAAATATTTGTAGAATGGGATTTAAAGTAGCCCGTAATAATAATGTGCTAAAAGCCAATTGAAAAATTCTGAAAATTACTTTTATCTTGTCGTGACTACGCTTATGTATATATAAACGTAAAATGTATACTTGCAGACCTCAGCTCATAATTATTTATTTATTTAAAATTAACAACAGTAAAATTGTTTAAATCGGCTGTTGACACTATACAGTTTATCACGTAATAATATAACTATTATAATATATGTTATATGCCACTATTACGGAAGTGTTCATTACGAGTATATTTTTCTAATACAATCTAAGTAGAAGTATATACGAGTAGATAAAATGCTCCGTATTATTATTTAATCTATGCTAGTGAATAAATAAAATCTTAAAAAAATAATTACCAATATAATACATTATTACATATTATATTACATTGTTATGGCATGCGTTGTTTATCATTGACATTTAGTAACGATTCGTTTGTCGGATATCCATATGATTTTCGATAACATTTAAATTATTGACCGCACTTATTTATTATTATAATATATTTTATGCCGTATTATACCGTCAACAAAGAATGTAACAATAAAAAAGTGCTATATTTCTCACTGACTCGCCCAGTCATGTTTTAATCTCGTTATTGATACAATGCTGTTACGCCTCGGCTATTGAAAATAAAAATACGAAAATACACCTCGTACACGTACACGTTGCATTATCATGTCAACCATTTTCGTATACCGATCGACATAAGAATAGGACTTGGCGAACGAAGACCTCGCTGTGGTGACGGAGGGGTGGGAGGTATGTAGACGACGATATAATTATAATAATAAAACCAACTCTTTTCGACGATAACTCTCCTCCTGTGTGAGTAGGCAAACGTCCACGGATCGCAGACTAGACTCGTGTCGTGTATTTTATCACACCGCAAACTATTTAAAAATACCAATTCAATAACACCAGTACAGACACGTCATGGTAACAAGTGATAGAAACTATTAGTCATTAACGTACGGAAGATGGACGGAATCGACAGTGCGCACAGTTAACATTTCGCCAACGCACGATGAATTCTATACGCGCAGTACGGTGGTATACAACCGAAATTTGACCACGCATGATCAGCCGATTTTATAAATGATTGTTTTGCACGACGCGACACGACGGTGTGCAGCATGTGAACCGGTTGACGTTTATGGATTTCGTTTTTCCAGGGAAAACTAGCCGCCGCGAAAATAGTTATTTGATAAGGCCTGCGTACTCTAAAACGTAATATACTCATAGCCGCAACTAGTGGGGTTTAGTCCCCCCCCCTAAATATTTTCATAGCCCTTCCAGATTAAAAATAACGAAACTCAGAAATTTGCGTTTGAAACTAAGATAAAATCTAATCGTCTATGTCTATTATAATCTCAATACACGAAACAATTATTGATTTTGACAATTCTTGTTATTTATCGTATTATGGCTTTCGTTTTACTTAGGAATATTCTAATCAAAATTTTGTTCTCGAAATCATATTTTTTCATCTTATTTTATTCATCTTCTTGCTAAAATTTGAACTGAAACTATACTAGCGAGTAGTGAAAGATTTTGTCTGTATGCAAATAATTAAGTGGGCTCTGCTCTTACGAGTCTGTGTTATCTCAGTACTTATAGCTCACCCCTCCCCAAATATAAGCTCTAGTTGTACTTATGAACATGCTGCGTACTGCTCTGCCGCAGCGGTGGTCGATAATCCGTGTTTTAATGACAGCCGTTTCCACTGTTCACGATTTCGCTCCGTGTTAAAGATGTCAAGGCAAAATGTGCGCAACGATAACGCATTAAAATGTAACCTTAAAGTGGTGACTACGCGCGTATGGCTATGGGAAAATAGCATAAACGCAACCAGATAGGTTAGGTACACTTTAGTGCGTGTTTCAACACACAACGACTGCTACGTAAACGTATACACATTCGGTCCGAGAAATTTTTTTGAGAACTTTCTGCACATGTAAAGTAATGCCTCCAACCGATGAACAATATATAATACAGTCAACGACTCCTTAACCCCGAACTTTCGGTAATATCGTAAGTATTGATACCATCGTTTCGAATAAATCATCACAGAGTGAACACTTGTTTTCGAAACGTTCCAGCATATAAATCGATACAAATTTATGACAATTTATAATAATTACGGGCGTAACATTTTGACGAACCGTTTTCAGGCATTTTCTGCCCATCGATTTTATTCTTATCTATCGTGTTTTTATTCGACGGAAGCTGCTTGTAGTCCCGTTTTAAGTTGAATCGCAACCAACCCGACAACATTCGCGCTTGTAGAAAACCGCTTGGATTTCTGCAAAAATAGTAAAACGACTGTTAGTTTTCAACAAATCGTGTTTTTGTTGCGTACATCGTCTGCGCTCATTTTATTACCTTTTTACAGCATTAGAGAGTATAATTGAACGCCGTCATAATTATTTTCATTGTCACCATTATGTATGTATGTATGACTAAGAAACATACCTATACTATTACTTTACATGTTAACAATAAAGTCTGAAAAAATAAATCATATTATGTATTTATTATTGTTTTTGTTTTGAAACGTATCATTAACACTCGTGCACGTTCGTGTACTTTGATAACATTTGATTTACATATCTATCAATTTACTATTTGATAATTTTCGTTTCGCGTCCCTAATAATATGATATAAAATAAGAAAATATTTCCAAAAACAATATTACAGAAATACAATCGTCGTAATCATGAGTATACGTTTTTTACACGGGTACACTTATCTCGTGTATAGTTCCATAACGTTTTTATTTGATGACAAGGACCTCTGGCACAAATTCGATTTTACCATGCGCAATTGCACTGCTACAGCAATGATCGTATAACGGTTTTTATTACAAAGCGAATATTCTGTTTAGAAATAAATTGACTCCGAATAAATTATTATTTACGTTGACATTTTCGGAGCGCAATTGCAGTCTACGCGGTGCTGAGAAGAAAACCATGTCGAAATATTTTCAGATCGATTATTTGCATGTATATATATATATGTACAGTCAATTTAATAGCTACCATTTTAACGGTTATTGGACACAAAAAAATAGTAATGGCGTATTGTTTCTTTCGAGTGATATGAATATTATCGTCCTTACTATGCATACGCATCATTTTCAACGATAATAATAATTGGTGAGGACAGTAAATATATTTCAAGTCATGAAGGCGCAATGAAATTAATACTTGGATTTATTATAGTAAATTGTTTCTACAAAATATTACAATGAAACGTGATACGTACGCATTAATATACATTTACTTTCAACTATATCGGTATCCTGTCATTGCAGACGATCACTATTAATAAAAATTTGCCTTCCATAAACATAAATATTATCCATATCCGCGACGAGAACGACGTCGTCCTTGAAATATTGAACAACAAGGAAATCTATAGCAATTTATTTGCAATAAATGATACCAATCCCCTCATTTATTATAATTTTTATTGTAATATGGGATCAAATCAGCCAAAATTGTGTAACAGGTGAGTAAACAAGACTAAGACACATCATTTATAAAAGTATTAGTTGTGGTGTGTGTTTATGTTTATGGTGTACAATAGTTATCCGTTAACAATATCTGCTAACTTAGTCTCCTATATTGTATAAAATAAGCTGTAAACGTGTAAACGCGAACGAGTTACAAATTTAGTCTACAACGATCGAATACAATATTATTACAATATAATGTGTAAATGAAACCTGTTGGTTACAGGCTACACACTAGAAGAAAAATTATTGATAGTTTTGATTGATCCCTATTATTTATTAAAAAAATAAAACCATCTGACATAGAGTTCTATCACTATGAGGTTGATTTTTCTATCAGTGTACTAAACAGGTCCGGGATGTTAACGAGCAATATTATGGTATAATTCGTATTGGGCGAGAATTGTTATGAAATTACACAGGCCATCTATACATAGTTAAAATGTAGTTTATATATTTTCTGATAAATATTTTTATTATATACGTGGCCATAACTCTTAAATATATCATTTTCGTCTACAACTTTAATAGTATGTCATCGTAATACTACGTGTAGTAGCCGAATACTAAAATAAATTCTGTTTCGACAATCGGCAGTATTAATTTAATTATATAACTATTATCAACTAAAATAATTCGATTGTACCACGTTAGAATCACTTTAGAAGATAGAAAATCGGTGATCTAATTTAATATTAAAATATATTCGAATTGTAATGGTTTCCAGAAGGGTTTTACACGGTTAATTTAATGGGCATAACAAATGTAATAATTTATGTTGTCATCATCAGTCGTCGTCAAGAATTTCTACGAATACGTATTATTATTATTATTATGACGTTGTACGGGTTTACAACGATTTCTTTTGTTTTAATTAATTTACGGACTCGCGGTATTTTCGATTTTTGTACGGTTAGAAATCGATCAAGTTAAACGATTTTCATCTATGAATAGCGGTAGGCGTTGTTGGTTGAGAATTATAAACACTTAACACTGAAATCGAATGTTGTCAGTATAATTACTATTAGTTTAATATTGTACATATTATGCCTAGTCGTTTTTTTTTTTTTTTTTAATTAATAATTACAATATCTGTTTTGTTTATGAACCGATGGCTATTAATCATAGTATCAAATATATTTTGTCTGCAGTTTGCACGTGTTATCTGTATTTGATAAATTATTTTAATATTGTTGTGCTGTTGGACGTAATATATTATTATTATATATATTTACATGAATTGAATTAATGTTTTAATATTTTTAAAAGGAGATCTATATTAATAAATCAAAGTCGACTCACAGTGAAATTATAAGTGTTAACAACAATTATGTATTTTATCATCCACAGTAACGTATATATAACATGTATTATGTATATAATAATTGAATAACGAAAATATTTTGTAGCATAAAAAAAATTTTTTAGAAATACGTTTTTGATGAATATGACCTATTTTGTTTTCACAAATATGCATTGCGTAAATGACAAGATCGAGTTGATTGAATATTAATTATTTTCCAAAACACGAAGATTTATTGTAGAGATTTATGTAAAAAAAAATGTCTGTTTGCAAATTATATGCGAGCAATGTATAGCTAATCGAGAAGGAATTAATCATGAAAATATATTTGATCACTATGCTCAGGTTTTAATTTCAACTTTTTCGCAAATTCAAATATCGAAAATATTGAATGTTAATATTATCTGTATTTATAATCATAACAATTTCTATACTAAATCATAAAAAAGTTGTACCTCGGATGTATTCATACTTAATAGTTATCAAAATATGAATTTCTAATACTTTCACATTCAATATAATAATTATACATTTTATAAAATATCTAGTTGTACAATTTAATCGTATGCGAATAATTTCCTGATATGATAATTATTGGATAATAATTATCCATCCGCAACGTATAATCACGCAGTCCTGCAGTAATTAACATTATATCAGTGTGTTATTAAGCGAATATTGTGTTAAACATAAGGAAATCAGAGTTGAGTAACGGCCTCGAATATAAGTATGAAGAAGTATAATAGATCAAGTGTAGATAATACGCGTGTGTTTGATAATAATGTATAATGTTTTTTATGTGCACTTTTTCGTTTTTAATTTTGTTCAAACGGTAAATCGTAATTAATTACGTTGTGTATCCAAACCTATTCTATGGCGTATTCCATTATTATTGATACCATTTGAGTAGACTATAGAGAAAGTCTACAGAACTGCGCAGAATCATTGCATCACACAGTTCATTTTTAAAGTATCCAATAATTATTCTTTCGCAATACGCTGAAAACGATCTATTGTACGATTTTCAGCACATCATCATTTTGTATATTAGCTGTTACTTCGTTACGGTTTGCGTTTAGGTTTATGTTGACTTATGTTATATTTTTCCATAATTTTTCAGAGCTCAATCGTACGCGGTACAGTTGCCCGGGGACTTTGTCTGCGAAGACTGTACTATCAGGTTGCTGAGAGAAGCACTGGAATGGGGAAGCAGCTACAAGTTTTGGTCGTGTGCTGACGTCGACATCAAAAACAGTAATATTATTATTATCGTACGATTTATATATTATATATATATATATACCCGAGTGGGTATACGACGAATCTAGGTAACCAGCTGATCCCGGTATCCATTCGTCCAAAAACATGTATCACGACCCCCGCAGTAGTAATAGTAGGTGGTAGGTGGTAGTACGAACCAAAAAGTTACGGTATACATGCTCGTCGTTATTCCGCTGGCGATAAAATACCTACTTGCACATTTCATAAACTATCACGTTTAAATTTAGATTAGACATTCAAATACTCTTATTGTTAAAATTAATTATTATTACGCACTTTACCAGTGGCGTGCGCAGGATTTTTCAATGGGGGGGAGGGGCATGAAAATAAATATTCATATTTGGTTTATAATAATAAAGTACATACATACTTTTATACTTCTCTTATAATAATACTTTACAGTTTACTTCAATTAACAAAGCACACATGAATATAAGATTTATAAAATCAAAAATTTGATCAAATATAGCGGTAGTAGGTATACCATCAAAATTAACAGTGTACAGAATAAATACTATATAGTGTACATACATTTAGCAGTACATGATATAAACATTATGCGAATTATCTTTTTACGCATAACACACTATTTTGCCAGAAGGCAACAAGTGCAAGAGTAGTAAAACCACAGATTAGATTCCAATCAGGTTTCCTTCTTGATATAGACCACGGTTTTAGAAGATATCTTCTAAGACCTTAATATAGACTATAATTTATATCTTCAATATCTGTGTGTTTTCCCTTCTAGTTTTTCTTTGATTTAGTAGTTGAATAAAAATAAACATGGACCAAAATATACAGGACTGGACATGACAAGGCCAGATAGAATGGGGGTTTGCCAATGGTCAACACAACTGAGTAGTGCAATACTAACGTACATATTAAATTAATATCTATGGCTACTTAGTACTTATGATAGGAAATAAAATTATTACGACCTATGTGTAGTCTAGTGTATTTAATATTTATATGAATACACCATATTATTTGCTCACGGCCATGGAAAAAAATAATAATAATACGGATAATAGGGAGGGTTTTAGTCCGTTAACCCTCCCCTGTGTACACCATTGCACTTTACGCACATGCAATCTACGTTCTTGTGAAAAAAACGGAAATTATTGCGAATTTGAAGTTATCGAAATTTATTCTAAACCATTTTTTAAACGCCACACTACCATATTATGATAAAATTATCTTAATAATGATTAGGTAATAATACATAAGACTTATTAATGTATACGTAAATTTAGTTATACTACTAATTTGTTTTAGTTAACAATTGATTAAAATACATTATACAAATGAATATATATTATTATTATTATTATACATATGGATATATGGATATATACATTTGAATCAGTAAAACTATACATATTAATGATTAAGACATCGAATATCTATGTACTCGTATTATTATCGTTAACTTAATTCTACGTTGTGCTTATAATGGTTACAATTTGTGTTATTTTTATTATTAGAAAAAAGTTACCGGGAAGACTGCAGTGGCAAAGGACGATACCTGTTGTCGAAATGTCGATGTGACAGACTTTACTACGGCCCCAGGTGTCAATATAAAGATGAATGCACTGAAGACAGTGACTGCGGTGATCAAGGGAGATGTGTAGACACTCAAGCAACCTCTGCCCCTAGAAAACAGTGTTATTGTGAACCGGGATGGTTTGGACCAGCGTGCACTAAAAGTATGTTACACTTATTCGTATGTAGTTTTCATTCACTTATTTATTTACAATAACTCGTGGTCCGGAAAAGCGATTTCTACAATATTATACTAAACGAGAAAAGAATGAAAATGATTTCACAGCTATTACGATTTTAAATAATGGAATGGTTATAGAATTTTATCGGACACTTCGATGTTAAGTATACATTGACAACGATCACTGACATGAAGGGTAAAAATATTACTCAACCTTCATAGATATTATCATATTTATGTAACATGTATAAATCGAGTCTATTGTACTGTTTAGGAAACAGCGATGTGTGTGTGTGTGTGTGTGTACGAGAATAGTTTCTTGATCGAATTCGATCATATTTGTTATAGAATGTCATAATAAAATGTTTAGGTTTATTTACTATCTAGTGAAAGTCATAACAATTTTAACACTTAAATATACTATATAGTTCCATGCAATTGCAGTACAAGACATTTGAATCAGTAAAACTATACATATTATCTAAAATGCGCTATTATTTTTTTTTTCAGGATCTTCGTTGAAATCTAATGAAATCGATGTTACTAATCATAGATATAGAGAACTTTCAAAGGATTTCCATTTATATTGGAAAGTATTCCGAGAAGAAGGCGAAATTGAAATCGTTTTAAGAGCAAATAGTACAAGTTATTTAGGTTTGGGTTGGCGCCCAAAAGATTTGACTGCAGAATGCAAGAATTTTCCGGCTATTGCAGACCTGCCGGGCGCGAAAGCTGTAGCAGCAGTACCTAAACCTGAACCTGAGCCAAAAAGTGAACCAGAACCAAAAAGCGAGCCCGAACCTAAAAGTGAGCCAGAACCTAAAAGTGAAGCAGAGCCTAAAAGTGAACCAGAACCAAAGACCGAACCGGAACCAAAGAGCGAACCGGAACCGAAAAGTGAACCAGAACCGAAAAGTGAACCCGAACCGAAAAGTGAACCCGAACCAAAAAGCGAGCCTGAACCGAAAAGCGAACCTGAACCGAAAAGCGAGCCTGAACCGAAAAGTGAGCCTGAACCGAAGAGTGAACCAGAGCCGAAGAGTGAACCAGAGCCGAAGAGTGAACCGGAACCAAAGAGTGAACCTGAGCCAAAAAGTGAACCTGAACCCAAGAGTAAACCTGAACCAAACACGACACAAAAATCAAGTAGCAAATCTGAACCTGAACCAGAACCTGAGACGAGTGCGGAGCCTTTGCCAGAACCTACGACTCAACCAACAACAACTACAACTTTTGCCAGTTCCACTAGGCCCAAACCATCATTTTTCCGAACCAGAGGTCGGCAGCAAAAACCAAAACCAACTGAGGAACCGGAAGTCACAGCATCAACAAGCGCACCAGTAAAAACTAGTGGAAGGCCGAGTAAGTTTAGAACTCATAACAAACTATTCGTACATAGGTATTTTAGGAAAAAAAAGACAGTTCTGACCTTTGAAGATAAAATATTGTCTTTTATTATCAACATTTATATGTTTTTAGTGAATTGTATTTATAATCATACAAATTATAATTTTAAATGACATTAATACATATATTAAATATATTTCTATTGAAAATAATTCATCCATTTAAAAACTTATTGAAAAATGTTTTTGCGTTTTAATTTAGCATTTGCCCAATTAAGAAGAACAGCAAGAGAAGCTTCCACTCCAAATGGTAAGTTGCCAATAGGATTTTGAAATATTTTGCACCCAGAATATTATATGATTAAATAAAAAATAAAAAATGTTTAGAACCTCAACCAGAGTCAGAGCCAGAACCAAGGTCAAAAGCTAAGGAAGGCCATAGCCATCACGACCACTCGTCTCACGAGCATGACCATAACCACGATCATCACCATCATACTCACGATCATAATCATGATCACCATCACCATGAAACTCCTGCAAAAAAAGGTAAACTCGTATTTAACCGAATTAAAGTATACAATTATTTACATTATTTACATACTGTTACGTAGTAGTACATAGTATTACATAATATGTAGATAAACGTCATATTTATGTTTAAACAATATTCAAACATACTTGATTTTTAATCTCAAATTCGTGGTATTGCTACAAATATCGAATAATTATTGATTTTTGGCCACACGAATTATTTAAGTTTATAACAAAAAATAAACACGAACATAATAATAAGTTGACATTAATGATTATCATATTTCTTTTAATGTTTTTAGAAAATATGAAACTCAATACTTACACACCGAAAGCGGATTTTAATGGAATGGACTGCACTGATTTAGTAATAGGAAGTGCGCGAGGGTCAGCTAGCAGGATATGGGATTATTATACGAGAGATAGGTATGCTATTTTTTTTATTATTATGTCTTGGCATTTATGCAAAGAAATTATATTTTTGTATTATATTATTACCTAATTATTTTATTAGTAATTACTATTATAATTATTATTATTAGATCAACACCACGCGTAGACAGCTATTGGGGTGGAAAGAATGACTTGATCGCTGCAGTTGGATACGAAAAAGATGGAGTCACAACTATTGCCTTTAGAAGGAAACTCAAAGGTGACTATTGTCTTAAATTATAATAATTATTATTTATATTATCTGACTGGAGGTATAAACCATTTTAATATAATTTCGAAATGATAATAACAAAATATTATATAATATTGCAGCTACCGAACCCACAGATCATTCGATTGTCGACGACGTTATGCATGTAATTTGGGCTAAAGGTCAAGAACAGAAAAACCATCAGCAACCACCGAAATTTGGATCGGAAAAAGACGTTGCGCTCATAAAAGATTTTTACAAACCCGATGAACTCAAATATCATGGCCATGGATCACAACGCGGAGTGATTTCTATCAACTTTTTCGGTAATTGTGATTAAATAATAAATTGCATCACGAATTCGATTACTCAGTAAATTATCGATGAACAATCGATCTGAACACAAGTTTTGATTTAGTAAAATATTATTAATCTCGGAAAAATTCGCACAGATTTATAGTTCATTGGAAACTGTCTGTGCATTATCGTTCGTGTAGTCAGAAACACAATGGACTATGTATATTTTTCCCGTAATACGTTACACGCTAATGTTAAAATTACATTCGAAAAATCCTATAATCTAACCGAACCGTTCACGAAAACGTATTATCAAGTATAAAAAATTATGCCAAAAGGTATCTGTCACCGGATAAACTCCTCGCTACGTATAAATATTTTTATTCCTTTTTTTGTTTGTATATTACAGATCATAGATTTTATTTTAAATAAAATATAATATTTAATTATTTGAAATACGAATAATCTCGTCTGTCCTATTTTTCACTATTCATGCGAAATAATATTTAAATACAGATCATTATGAGACCGTGTTGTGGTTACACTACTCCTGTACTCATTTCCACACGTTACGTTACAAGTTTTATATTTACTTTCACTAATCTGGAACACTTTTGCTGTCGTTGTCTTGCCTAGATGAACCCGATCAGCATCAGCAGTTGACATCGGTCGACGATCAAGCGGCAACAAGAGCCGTCGGCGACGGCCCGACCAACAACGGCAAACCGTCTCACCAGATGACCACGCCGGCGCCCAGCAACTGTTACGGTCAGTGGTCGACGCCGAAAGGTTGCAACGTAACGGCCGGTCATTGCGAATACCACGTCGTCTGGACGTACTCATCGAAGACCGATTACATGCGGTTCACGATCACCACGACGCACACGAGTACATGGACCGGAATCGGGTTCTCAGACGATCACAAAATGGTACGCACCGTAGGGCGAACGCGCGAAGGGGTTGTTCGAACCGTGCGAAGACGTGGCCCGACCACCCCGACCGTCCATGATCGACCTGTGCTTTTAACCCCCAACAACGGTTTCGTGGTTACGGAACAAACTATATCCGATCGTTGTCTCCCTTCGCGTGGCTTCCTGTAGCTTGAATATTTTCTTGTCGAGATTTTAATTATATTTTGAAATCAATGATTCGAGTAACAAAAAACTTTTCGCCATTGCAGTGCATTTCTTTTTACAAGCTTTACTATTGTAAATCCGTATTAACTTTCGGTTATTCGGAAACCAGTTCGTTACGCTTCGAGTTTATCTGAATCAATGGTTTTCAGACGTTTTCATTTGTATGGTCATAAAGACGCATGTTTCACCGTTAGTTAATCCTAATATTCTTTCCGTACATAAACACGAAAAAAAAATAACTAGAAATGTTGGGTGAATATATCTAATTTATTTACTAGGTTACTATTATTAGGTATATTGACTCAACATTTCCGCATTCGAGTGCATTCATTTACTCGTCCCTTATCGATACGTTATTATTTTATTTTTATTAATAATTATCTCGTTATTTTATTGGAAAATTTTTGTTCGATATTTTACACATTTCATATAGTATCATATATAAATACATATAAAATAATATGATTAACGATTTTAGAGTCAAACTGATGCCATAATCGGATGGGTGGATAAAGCTGGAAGGCCGTTCCTTATGGACACGTGGATAAACGGATACACAAATCCGCTACTAGACCCTTCTCAAGATTTGAGCAACATTACCGGCAACACTGCTGAAGGGTTGACGACGTTGAGCTTCATGAGAAAGAGATCAACGGGAGATCCAAAGGTAACTTTCATATTTAAAACGAACTACATGTGTTATAAACAATAACATTAACTCATAACAATTTATACAGTGTCTTGACCTGACTATATACATTGTGTTGGATGAACTTGTTTAATGAATAAATTATTACACCTTTGACGACGGTTGTGTTTTGGTTTTCAATAGGATATGATGTTTTCGGATGAAAAGTGTTTGTACTTGACGTTCATCGTCAAAGGGGGTGGTTACAATCCGGTGAACAAGAAGATCAAGAAACATGAGCTTGTACCTGTGTTTTCGAACGAACGAGTGTGCATACGGTCATGCGGAGCTGGTAAATAATTATTGAATAAATATGTAAAATATGTATTTCAATCGTTTACTTAAATGTTTACCCTCTGCTTTTATTTTCAGAGGAAGATTGGGAATCCGTGACCACCACCACGTCGCCAAAGGCAGCGTTCAACGTCGCTATCAAACTAGTGAAATTGGGTGAAAACTTTGTCGTGCCGCCGGCTGGAAGCCCTGATTTTGATGTTCTAGCCAACACCGTTACCAGCGGTTTCAAGAAGACCCTGACCAAATTACCAGAATTTTACAAGATTAGCGTTGACGAATTTGCACAGTAAGTGAACCTATAAAATATCATCGACGTGCCGCTTTGTTGTTGACCTTTAGATTTTTAAAGCAAATCTTATAACAGTGTTAATTATTTACACTACGGTTGTTCATATGTATCTACTTCTATAGTTTGATTGAAAATCGATTAATAATCTTATTTCGGTAGTGGCATTAGCGCCACAGAATGTAGGTTTAATTACTACAGTAGATATATTATTGTATACCGTACGTTTGTTTCATTGCAGAGAAAACGATAATGTGGTTGCCAAGATGAGTGTCGAGTTGGACGAAAGTGGTGGTGGATCGCGCGGCCGCGCGTTGAGCGATGACGAGGGCGCCGAACAACTGGAACGCGTTTTGAGAAGTACCGTAAATAGCGGTCATGTGGGTGCTCTATCATTGGACCCTAAATATTTTGTTTTCGAAGCAGCCCCACGTAAGTGTTTCAAAATTGATCGATTAGTACGAAAACGCGTTTTTAACGTTAGTTCGTAGTTCGTAAAATAAATGCCATTAAAAACGATAAATAAAAACCGCGTATACTCAATTATAGGCGCTAATAGTATGGGTTAATATTATATTCGTTAATAATCCTTTCTACTAGTACTACCATTTATGCCTATGTATGTAAATTATACATAATAGCAACAATGAAAATTTGTATTCAATCAAATCGAACGCATGGACATTTTTATTCGAAATAAATTCATATAATTTTCAAACAATTTACAGTTTCCAATACGAGACAAGTAGAAGAAAACTCTAATGACAGTATATTATTGTCGACGACAAAGTTATGGATTGTTATCGGTTGTATATCAGCGTTGGTGTTTATTGCCATAGTCCAAGCCGGATGCACAATCTACAAAACGGCTCGTAGACCCAGACCGAACCACAAGGTAATTGTTATTTTGCATATATTATACTTAATAGTACATTAAATATTAATTATTTATAGTACATCCATTAACAGCTTTGGTAGAGCTTTATTATAGCTTCGTTTAATCATGATTAAGCTTCATTTTTTATAATAATTATTGTAATGTATTCGTCACGGCGAGCTTGTAATTGTGTAACTATTGTAGCTGGTTTATTCGGTCCCGACTGGAGTTCAGGCCGGGTATCGGCCATCTGTCGACCCTTACCTGTACACCACCGGTCACTGGGCGCCTATCCGAGCAGAACATGCCATACATCGTTATTAATCAAAATCAAAATTTAAAAACATACCAAAAAAAAATTACAAAACAAAAAAAAAAAAAAATACCAAAACTATACCACGTCAATAAAATCACACATAACGCATAGTATAAGTACCTGGTGAGTCTGATCAATACTTCTTCATTGTTTCTGTCTTCTATTTTCTTTCTTCGTGATGATCTTAAAATCATAAACACATTTTTAGCAATACTCAAATGTCTGAGGTATTCAATTATTCGGGTGTTCTACAAACTAGGTATATCAAAAAAAATAATAATTTAAATAATAATTATTTTCCAAGTAATTCGTGTACTAATGAATATTTGTAAGTTTTAAAGTAAAATATTTTCTTTTCGAGTACTGTAAGTCAATTTGAATTATATGTTGTATACTATTTCAAGTTACTTGTAGATTCTGAAACAAAATAATTTTATAACAATTTCGATAGATAAATCTAGAATATGGATCGTAAGAGTAAATAATTTATAAACTTAAAAACGTTCTTAACTATCAATGTGCTTATTAATTAGAAATGTTACTGTAAAACAAATACTTATAGTTAGTCAATATATGTTATTAAATAGGTAGATTCGAATTAAAATACTACTCGTATGTCGATTGAATTCTAGAGACAAAAAATAAAATAATTGAATACCTTGCACGTTTGAACTTTTAAAAACATGATCACTGGCAGAATAAAAAATCTCACTCTGGTGGTACACGCATGGTCATAATGGCTATCCTGTAAAAATCTCCTTATTTGTTACTAACCATAGTATTTACCTATTATCTATAGACATAATCTGTAAGAAAAAAATTACACGTTTAAACAATCCAATTTCATTAACTTTTTTTTTATTTTAATACGATATTTTATACCGAAAATACTACATGTCAACTTCAACTTTATGCAAGCACCCGGTAAATTTTTAATTATATTTATTTAATAAAATTCGGTTTTATTAAATTTTAAATTTTGAATTTTATACTAGCGAATCCTCATTAGCAATATGTTCTTTTGGAGATATTTTCTATCTATCAATCGCCGCTCAGTTGTATTTAAAATCAATAATTTTACATTAACGATGTGTTCCTGTCATACGCGAAGACATTGCTGGTATTTTCTTGCGTTTCACACATTTGTGTATGTATACATTCGATATCTTTCGAGCTCCAAAACACTTATCTTCCAAGCTTAAGTTTTGATAATCGTAAATTATTGTAACTATTACATTCTTATACTATGAAAGCATTTTTTTTTTGGCACTGACTTTTCGTTCCTGTTAGTTTTTCGGTATCTACTCAAACACTACACTATAGACTTAATTCTACATTGATAACAAGATGTTATTTTTGTTTTTTTTTGTTTCATTGTTTTAACGTGCAACGAATAATAGCAATTATTATACATTTTTATATGATTGGCCTTATACCGTATACACAATATAGGTAAACTAATATCATTAATTTAGCATTATTAATTATACACATAACATTATCATTTAAACACAAGACATAACAACTTTTTGAATAATAATACATAATAGTTTAATAATAGTTATAAATAAATTAATCGGTCATTAACAATCGTTTGCTGAAAACTTAAAGCTTTAAAAGGACTTAGAAATACGATTGCATAATATTATATACAACGATAAAAAGTGGGTTAGATGTTAAGAAAAATGTTTAGAATAATTTATGGTATACCGGTTAAATAAGCGATGGACATGTAGTTTTTATACCGTTTTAAATATTTTTTTTTTTATAAGTAAATTAATGATTTGTGCTTACTATATTCACTGCTATATTATTATTACCACAACTAATTTCAGCATATTTTAAACTATCACTAATTACTTACTGTGTATTTTATATTTTTAATTTTAATTTTTTATGGTTATTTCGGTGTTTGCGAAATAATATGACTTGATGTACATAGAAAAGTAGTTATTTAAATAAGTGCTTTTGATTTTCCTTTAAAATACCACTTAATTGATTTTAAAAAAAAAATCTTTTTACACGTATAATATTGTACACATTTTTCATTTTAAATTCTCAGTTACAATAAGATTACGTTCTTGTAGTTGAGAGTATGAATTCAGAAGTTAATTCACATATTTTCTTTAATATTAATTTTTTGATACGTCATTATTGTTATTGCACATCTATGGTAAAGAAAAGGTTCTTTTTTGGTGTCCATCTTTACCCACCCAGGTATTAACTTTTATTCCTTGAGTAGGCGACGAGGCTTTCCATCGCAAGTCCTAACATCAGCTAAGACTGCGTGGGGATTAGGAAAAGTTTTTCGTAATCCATCTGATTACGCATTGCCACCACTATTATTACGATTACCGTGAAATCGGATTAATTCAGCGATTATGCCAGAGTGGTGTAGTGGTCCACAATGTAGCCACGACGCGCGCAGTCACCAGTTCGAACCCGATTCAGTGCAAAAAATATTCTGCAGAGTTTTCTGTAGTCTCCCTCCCCTGTCGTCATTCTGGTTGCCTACTCTGTCACCCATCGGATCCACTACACTGGAACTGAAGTCCACACACTTGTAAATTCTTTTCTTAGAGAAGGGTGTACCTCATAGAGCACTCTACCCCTCTCAAGTGAAAAAGACATCGATAAAGACCCAGATGGTCGTTTCGATTCAAATTTGAAAAAAAGGAAAAATTTATATCCAGTGATGGTATTTAGGCGTAGGGTCGGAATTTTGTGGGGCTAAATATTTAATACGAGTGTTGGATTAAAGATATATAAAATGTATTTATCCTTTACTGGATCTTTTGCTAAATCATAACCAAAATATGTCGCTAGATACTTGAATCAAAATAATTTCGATTAAATCATTCCAGAATGATCTATTCCATTGTTCGTGACTCGTTTTGGAAAACCCATCAAATCTTATTGAAAGTGTGTAGGTCTAGATAACTTAAAAATGTCATCATGGCGATCGTAGGGCCCTACATAAGTCTATATCGGTACCAACCGGACGTCTATTGGAAAGCCTCTCACCACCCAACCTGTATCCTTGAGCGTGCTGCGAGGTGATGGTACCCGTAAGGTGTATATGGAAAAGGTGTACAACTAAACTTATCTTCATTATTTGTCCTGCACAGGATCACGGTGGCGTGAACTCAGCGTGGAAGGATTATTCGTCCGGTGGGGGCGGCGGTGGTGGCATGGGTGCGGCGAACACGAATTACGCGTTCGACCAGTACGATGGGGACGAGAAACAATCGCCCAGCTCGTTGAGCCACACGTCCACGATACCGCTGACCACGAAGCTGGTATCGCACGGCGGTGGCGGTGGCGGCAACCACTACGCGGAGTCGCGATCGTTGCACAGGCCGTCGGCAGCGAACGGAGCAGGCGGTCGGCACATGCACAGCCGTCCTCCTCCGCCGCCCACGCACCACCACCAGGACAGGGCGGCCGGCACGTACTCGCTGCCCAGGCCCGCGCAACAGCCGCCGCATCATAACGGGTACTACACGCACAGGCCTCCTAACCGGACGTCGCATGGGCCACAGCAACAGCAGCAGCAACCCGGCGGCGGCGGCAGTGGCGATCAGCTACAGCCCGACTTCTACTTCATGCCGTCCCAGAGGAAGTATTCCGGCGAGGTGGTCAGGGTGTACGTGGACTACAACACCAACCCTAGGAAATGAGTAAAAAGCACCACCCGCGTTCGCGTCCGTACGCTGCTGAAATGAATATTTTTTATGTTTTACTTGTAAATATTTATTATATTGATTTATTTTTTTATTTTTTTTTTTTTTTTATTATCTGTAAACGCTAACGGTTACGACGTATGAACGTTTTAGACGAGTATTTTTTCGTACGTAATACATCGAACACGCACACGCTCATAAACATACGCGGTAATATATTATTCTTCAAATAGGTATTTTATGTTTAAACGTTGAATGAAAATGTGCACGTACGTGTACACGCAGACACGCGCAAACACATTCACACCGGTATACAAACAAGGGAGTCGATCGTTTCACTGGCCATAATAATATTTACGTCTTACGTTTCGAGTTCGGTTTATCTTTTACCGGGTACAAACGAAATGAGCTTAACCTGTATGTACTTACGTGTGTATGCGTATGATAAAACGTTTATAAAACGCAACGTGAATTCACGCGTGGTTCTGTCGAGAACACATCCTGCGGGATATTGTCGATCAAAAATTATTTTTAATTACAATATACATACCAGTGGTCTTCCCCGTCTGCAGATTTTATTATGATCCGTGCCATTCAAGAATAATATAATTATTTATACAGTATTGTACGAATCATTTTCCGTTCCCATTGCCATTTCTCGATATCGTTTTCGTCAACGATCAATCGTCCCGTCGTGTTTACTCATAGGTACATTAAATGTATTTGTATGACCTGAAACATATTCAATCCGATCGGCTTACTTTTATTTACAACACATTTTACCATAAGCCCATAGAATGTGATAAATATATATATATACGTGTGCATAATTATGTTTATGCGAAAACTAACGCAGATTATTATTACGTGTTGAGCCACTGACATTGACTGTATTATTATTTTATTATTTTAGTAAATATTTTATTTTATTTCGAATCTAAATACATAACATTAGTTTATACACAGTTCCCCGGCTTTCGTAGTTTCGTATTGTTTTCCGATATTTATTTTATTATATATTCATAGTGTTACGTAATTCATTTATATCTCGTATTCTATATAGCGTGGCCGTCCAGCAATATATAATTTTAACAAACAAATATAGTGCAAAGTATTAATCGAATCATAATTATAAATAATATATTATATACATATAAAAATTAGGTATGCGTTTAAAATCTATTTAAGTTTAGTAAACTGTTTGCTCATTTAGTTGGAAAATAAAACAAACGTATTGATTGTATATTATATTATATTATATTATATTATATATATATATATATATATATATATATATATATGATTATTTTAAATAATACAATATGATATATTTATATAATATTTGTTTTTTTTCCGTTTAGAATTTAAATGTTTGTACTTATATGTTATAGTTAGATGAATACCATAGATAAATTATGTATAAAATAACTTACAAAGAGCTAAATAATATTAACATAAACTTTTATTGTATTATGTAACCCTAATTTAAACGTAAAAGTACAACAATGTATAATTATATTATATAATTCGTGTCCAAAATATTTTTATCATATATATTATTATTATTATTATTATTTTATTTCAACATTAATTTTTTATTCTGATTGTTTTTTACTATTACTACATTTTTATTTTTTATTTTTTTTTTTTTGTAAAAATATATACCAAAAGTGGCATTAAACTATATTTTTGACTTAGTAAATCACCACACGTAGAGATAAAAATAATTAAAAATAATTTTTTATGACGTGTACATTTAACCTCTAAACACTATGTTTTCGCAATCTTATCAACATTTTATCGATATAAGTATAAATTAAATGATTCATTGAAATACAATATGATTAGTGAAATACAAATGAAAACAACCATTTATTATAGTGACCAAAAAAAGTCTTCCAAAAGAAAACCGAAAATAACAAATCATAATGACATTAACATAGGTAATAATTTATTGATGAATTTAGGATTATGTTCATCTTTTCTGTGAATTCACAGCAATCTCCACTTAACAGTAGCAGCGTTGAAAATCACCACTATAAACGGTGGGACTGTTCATATAACCACGACTAGAGTTGCAGTTCTTGAAGGCCTATGGGCCCCCAACAAAAATTTCAAGAAGTAAAATAAAATAACTAAAAACCTAATTTAAATAATTTAAGAAAAAAAATCAGTAAGAAAATCATCATATGAATACTATAATTATAGTAAATCAAAACAGAATGTTCAAAAGTACGGGAAAGGAAAAATCTTACTTGGTAACTTGGATGATTAAGCCCCCAAGTTATGCCTAGTACCATTTCCGTCTAAATGGCTTAATGAACAATAATTATTAAAATTATTAAAACGGCTTATGCGACCATTCAGTTTAAGATTTAAAAAGCTCTCGGCATGTATTGGTATAAACTTTAAACCAATACATACTGAGAGCTCTCTAAAATCAAGGTGACTCCTTTGATAAAAAACCAAACATAATTTGAACTGATTTCAAAAATGTTGTTGATTTTCTATTACGTGTCTATTACTAATTAACAGAAATGTTTACCGTAAAATGTAATTTCATTAAATTCTGAGTTAAATCTTCTTACGAATATAATAATACTTCAGGCTATGCTTTTATGTATTTACTTGTTTATTTATATATTAAATCTTCTTGTTTAAAATACTTGTTGTATTGACATGATTCCTTAATTTAACCGATTTATCCCGAAGATTGTAAATAACTTAATCAACTTTAGTATCTATCAGCTTCTAACATTGCCTTTCAAACACTATGTTCCTCCAATATCACTTATAAATCACAAAAACTTTTAATAAAAAATAATTTTCTTCGATATATACTAGATTAGGTTTTCTATTTATCTTCCGAATTAAATTGTTAGCGGCAATCGTCCTATTTTCAAAAGTTGTTACTATTCGGTAAAATTGTTGTCTTAAAGTAATTATCTATTTACGTGAGTCTAAATTTAGTATTTAATACAGACAGCCTTTTACGATAAGGTTGAACAAGATGAAAATTAGAAACACTGTTAAAAAGTCTGAAGAGACAAGAAATATATATTGTCTTATGGCTGATTTAAATAAGGTATTGACCATTCTGAAATAAGAATAGTATTTATAATTCAATAGTGTTTCATGATAATAGTATTGTTGAATTTAGTTCTTATAAAAAACCTTCTATTTTGCTTATAGAAGAAAGCGACAGATTCAGCCTCGGGAGTCGACGACTTTTCTTAACTTTTATTTGTGAAACTCCAGTATTGTTTATCAAGGACAGGTTGTATCAATAGGTTTTTCACGTGGTTCATGGCATGATTCTTGAATATTGTCTAGTTTTTTTTTGTTGAAAGAATGTGTATACTGAGATTACCTGTTATATCTGTTGACTATTATATCACATACGAGTATAACATGATCTTATAGTACATCGTAATTGCAATGTCTTTAAATGTAATAAAATAGCTAAACGCTATTTAATTCTAATGTATCATTTATAAAAATACACGAAATTCAATATAATACCAGTATTAATTGTAAATATTTTTTCTCTAATAATAGTGAAATCATTCTTCTCGAACGGAAGAACTTTATTTTAAACAATTGACTCCCTAGTGCAATAAAATCATTTTCTTACATTAACAATGTACCCGTACGTAGTATTTATAAACTTATTAATATATAATTGATAAACATCAATTTGTATCTTTAAATCTCGCACTAAGCAGTTTAATAGTATGTTATTAAAATTGCATTAATTTCATATTTATCCAAATACATTGACCTGATAATATAAGTATCTATTAAAAGACGTTTGAAACCCTTTGAAGCGTTTAAAAAATTCTTTTGCTCGAATATTTTGTACATAACGTGTTCAACACGCGACACTGCAATCATCACATCATGTGTACTACATAAATATTGTATACTTCGTGTCGTGCAATAAATCATAATATAATAATATAAAATTGTTTTAAATATTGTATTTAATCTAATGATAAAACAGGTCTAAATTGGTCGGCGAGCGACTCATGTGGAAGACCGATCATTGGAAATCGTATTCAACCTGGGCGCGATGAACAGAAAAGTATACAGTACATTTCGCCCAGTCTCTAGTTGTAAACAATGCCTTCGCAAGCTACGAATTCGTTGCACGTGATCAAATAGCATTTCATCATGTTGTTATGTGATTTGAACGGTTTAACGAGACCGTAGTCGATATTATGCGTGAGCAGATTATCGTTTCTATTGGCACTCGGTCAGGGCCGTCAAAGCAGTGGCCGAGGCGTTTTTTTTTTTCGCTGTTTATATTCGTTTTCTCTAAAACGCAACTGCATACCGTTCCGATACTACGCAGTAAATAGTAATATTACGTTCGAGGGTTTATATAGCCGTTTTCACAGTTTCACTAAACATATTGGAAAAATAAAATAAAATTTTAATTTTTCCGCTTGTTTTTCTATGTTATCAAATTCTGTCGACACATAGCGATTTGTATACTATTATTTTACACTTGTGTGTAGACGAAATACGTAACTATGAAATATAAGCCAATGCCGGTTTATAAGTATAGTTTGTCATTGCGACGGGCACGAAGCCTTATCGAAGGTGATCTGGGAGTACTTATCGACGTGCGAGACTGCCTTCAGTATTAAATCTCATACGAGTATCTGTATAAATCTATGGTTAGTAGCAGAGGCCGAGTGGCTCAAAAATTCTTACCGTAAACGTGTGATAACCATTTTTTTTTTTTTTTTTTTTGATTGGGAGAAGTATAAAACAATTTGTTTGGCCTACATATTGGTAGATATTAAGGATTACCAGTATATTATCAAGCAGTGACGACCAGGCCAAGTCAGCGAGACGACGATCGCCGACTGGACCCTCTTCTAATAAGGTTCTAATAAGGTCTTCTAATAAAATCAACAAAGAACTCACTGCAATGACCCAAAAAAATCCTAAAAATGAATACAATTGATTGATGAATACGTGCAACGTTACCATACATAATTTAACAAATATTCTTGAAAAAAGTTATACGTTATAAATATGTTATACATATAATTATGTTTAACAAAATTTAAAAAATGTAGAATT